AGGCCCGCTCCCTGGGGGACTGGGCCTAACCTGGCAGCCTGCGAGCCCTCAGAGGATGTCCACTTTCCAGTGGGGAGCAGGCCTAAGCTTCGGTCAGACATCCTTAGAGCTGCTGAGGAGGCGGGAGAGGCTCCTACCACCACTGCTGTACTGGCAGCCGTCAGCTTGGCTTGTGGCTGAGCAGAGCTCCCCCTTTGGAAGTGCACTGACCACCAGGGAGCAGCTCCTGCATTGAGCATCTGCCCCCTGGTGGTCAGTGTGTGTCATAGTGACCAGTCATTCCCAGCCTTTCTGCTGTTATGGTCAGTTTACATATTACCCTTTTATTATATGGGATAGAGGCCTGGTGCATGGGTGGGGGACGGCTGATTAGGCCTGAAGGGTGTCCCTGATCAGGGTTGGGGTCCTTCTGGGGTGCCTGGCCAGTCTGGGTGAGGGGTTGAGGGCCATTTTCAGGATGGCCAAGCCCCCTGGTGACGGAAGTTCCCAGCCTCTCCTCTTTTTGTTTCTTTTTTTTTATTCTGAGATTTATTTACCTTCCATAATTCAAATTTTGTAGCCTTGACAGGAGCTCAGAGCCGGCCAGGGTGGGCAGGAAGGAAGCTTGGCTTCCTCCATCAATGGGGCAACCAAGCCTCCTGCTTGCTCCAGCTCTGTGGCTGCCGGCCGCCATCTTGGTTGGGTTAATTTGCATATAGTCGATCTGATTGGCTGGTGGGTTTGGCTTAAGGCGTAGCGAAGTTGTGGTCAATTTGCAAGTTTGTCCTTTATTGGTGTAGATTATTGTTAATTTCTCACTGTGCCTAATTTACACATGTATCCCCAGCAGACACAGAAATTACTGAATCACTTAGAGCAGTGTTAGCTACAGTCATGTTGTACATTACATCTCTCTTACTTATTGGCCTAACAGCTGACTTTGTGCCTTTTGAGAATCTTCCTTTAATACCTCTCTCCTACAACCTCCTACCTTTGGCAGCCACAAGTGTGACCTCTTTTTCTATGAATATTTTGCTGTTGATTTTAGATACTACTTATGAGATCAGACAGTATTTGATAACTATGGCTTTATAGTAAGCTTGAAATCAAGACGTGTGATATCTTCTGCTTTGTTCTTTTTTCTCAGATTTCTTTGACTGCTCAAGGTCTTTTGTGGCTGTATATAAGTAGGAGTGTGTTTTTTTCCTACCATTGGAATCTTGATAGAGATGGCACTGAGTCTATAGATGGTTTTTGGTAGTATTCACAATTTAACAATATTAATTCTTCCAATACATGAATATAGAATATCTTTCCATTTATTTGAGCCTTGAATTTCTTTCATCAATATCTTGTAGCTTTATGCATAAAGAACTTTCACCTCCTTAGTTAAACATATTCCTAAGTATATTATTATTTTATTTATTGTTGACAGTATTACAGTTGTCCCTCATTTTCTCCCTGCTTTTCCCCTTTCACCCAGCCCCCTCCACACCCAAGGCCTTCATTACACTATTGTCTGTGTCCATAGGCTATGCACATGTACATATATGTTTTTTGGTTAATCTATTCTGGTTCCCTTCTCTCTCTCCTCCCCTCTGATTGTCAGCTGTCAGAAAAAAGGGCACATGGAGGGACTCGATGAAAGGATTAGTCAAAGAATATATAGACATAACTCACAGACACAGGCAGCAGTGTGTTGTAGGCAGAAGGAGGTTGAGGGCTAAATGGAGGTGGGCAGAGGTGGGGAAAACAGGACATCTGCTGTAGTGTCAACAATAAAAAAACAAAGATTTAAAAGAAATCCAAGCATGCATCTCAAGAAACTAAAAATTGGAAAGCTATATTTATGAGAAATTAAATCCAGGTAAAGACAGCAAAACACACAAAAAAAATCAAAATCAAGAAAAAGAAGAAACAGAGTAGAGAGAATAAACAAGGTCAAAGTTACTCTCATTCAATATTATAAAATTGATAAGGTTTGGAAAAAAACTAACAAAACCCAAATCTTGCATATCTAGAGTAAACAGGGGAATAGCCTTATCCTATTTACAAATACTCAGTAGGTAATAAAGCCACATTATGAGTACATGTTAATATCTACATTACATTAAAAAAGTATGAAAATGCAGTGCAACTAATGGAAACCTCAGTATATCTAGCATGTAGTTTAAGAATTGAGTTCATTTTATGAAATTTCCTACAAAAGCATTCTTCAAGCTCCACTGACATTGGGACAGAAAAAGTTAGGTAGATAGGGCCAGGACCATGGGAGGAGGAAGTGAAACCAGGAACCCAGCTTGGCAGAGTTACTAAGACACCCCAACTGGGAAGGAAGGGTGCGAGCCAGAGACATGAACTTTAAAATGGGTGGATATTACTAAGAGAGTGTGCAGATACCCAATTACAAGGCAGTGAGGCAAATATATATACAAAAAAAAAAGTGCAGGCTCCCTTCCCTTCACCCCCAGCTTGGGGCACAATGGACACCTGACACTCCTGTTGCTGGGGAACACATCCCCTATGACCACGTGGCTTATGGCCATATTAGTGTCCTGGTGCACAAAATTCATGCACATTAAAAGGGAATTAATTAGAGGAAATATTTTAATATTGCTATTTACCCTTTCTCTATAATAGAAGTGTCAGAGATGAAAGAAAATTAGTAAAATTTATATGAAAATAATATATAAGTTTATTAATAAATAAACAATCGCAACATGCTATAACAACAAAAAAGACATGATATAAAAACAAAAACATGATGTAAAAACAACACTGATACAATGACTCATAAATTGATTAAACTTATTCTAATATCTCCCTGTATACCACATTAAGAGTGAAAACACTTTCAGAGTGCTTAATTAATTTCCCTTGTGATGAAGTATTTACAACTTTAACATCACACACTCTTCGAACTTGAGAGAAAGCAACATGTAACTGACCATGTGTGAAAACAGGTTTAGGTAGGAATATTCCTACTCTGTCTAGAGTTCGTCCTTGTGATTTATTAATAGTCATTGCAAATACTGGCATCATGGGAAACTGTCTTCCAATTAATTTAAATGGGAGGCCAGTGTCAGTTCAGGGTCCAGGGTGCAGGGGGATGGGATTCCTGGCTGGCATTCCACTGACAGCAAACTGTCCAATGGCTGTTTCTGTGAAAAATGGTGCTCCCTCCCCGCTCCTGTCAGGGTCTGGTTTGAAGGCCGGCAATGCCCCTGACCATGTGAGACCCAGAGTTCTGCCAAATCTAGGCTGAGGCTCAGAGCTCCCTCCCACCAGCAGCCTGCTATTCAGTCGTCTGTCTGGTCATTTAGGTCTTGACGGCCTCTGGATATTTATATACTGGAATGGGCCTCCACACATGGACTAATAGAGTTTCATTAGCTTGGATACTAAACTACGCCCGACAGTAACATGGAGAGGAAGCTCTGGCATGGCCTACTAATGGAACCCTGGCTGCTCCTTTTCCAGGATTGGCTTCTCCTAATAAACTTTGGTTCCATTAATCCTTTTTGTCTGCAACTTCATTCTTCGATTTTTGTGAGACAACAAATGGGACTCAAAACACCCACATTTTTGGTTTCAGGATCAGTAATGAAAAATAACATTAAAAATATAACAGTACTCTTATACAAAGCCATCCAGGAAATAGGAAAAAGGAATGCTTTTCATATAGCCTTGGTATACAAACCTGTCAAGTACACAGCAAATAAAAACTCATTCTAAACTCTTTGAGAACCTGGATGAAAGAAAAACAACTTAATTTAAGTGTAATATATACACTGAATTTTGAAGAAAGACAATACAAACTAGCCATTGTGGTTTTATTTCAGAAATGCAAGTTTGGTTTAACATTTAAAAGAAATAAAGGTAGTTTATTTCATAAACATTATACACAGAAAACATTTATCATTTCAATTGACACAAAAAAATAAAAATGCAGCATCATTATAAAAATATATTAGAATAATGACAATATTATGGAATTTCTTTTATAAGAGAAAGGTCTGTTGAAAAAACTTTAAAACAAATCTTATGCATTTAAATGTGTTCCCCGAAAATAGAGGACATATACAACACTTTTACTGTCCTTACTATTCAACAATGGAAATAAAACTCTAGCCTATGAAAATAAGTCAAGAAAAGAAAATAATTGCTCCTGGAAAAAAAGAAATAAAATAACTGTCTATATACATTATGCAGAAGAATGTATATTTGAAATGATAGGATTAATACAAAAATCAATAGCAAACCTCAACTGCATTTATGTTTAAAGCAGCAAAAATTACTAAAGAAATTTTTAAATAAGTATAGCATTTACAAAATCACAACTATAGAAGAATCATATTTCTTTGACTTCAATATAGAAAAATTTTAAACATAGAGAAATTAAAGAAAGCCTAATACATGGAGGGATAAAGCATAACATTGATTGGAAGAATCAATATTGTAAAATTACACCTTTATAAATTATTTAAAGTTTAAATGCAGACCCTAACATAACCTCAAGTGTTTTTTAACAGCTGTATTGAGGTTTAATTTACAAAGCAAAAAAATTCATCCATGTAGAGTATATATGTCAGTGATTTTTAGTATATTCAACAGAGTTTGCAACCATCACTACCAACAAAATTTGGAAAGTATCCAGCCCCCAAAGTAACAGTGCACCAATTAGCATTCGTTTGGTATCTGCCTCCCTTCAACCTTTGGCAACCGCTAACCTACTTTTGTTTCTGTGGGTTGGCCTATTCTTGATAACACATTAAAGTGACTCACACAACATAAGAACATTTAGAAATGTTGAATGCCGCAAATACAACGTTGAGTGAAACACGTCAGACACTAACAGCAATGAATATCTGCACTTTGGGATGTGTATGTTATTGTCCAAATATAGTTATAAAAAATTATTTCATTATTAGAACAAGTGATATAATTCATTTGAAGACATGTGCAATCATAATATTCTTTCCATTTCATGAAAAATAAAGTTACCCAACAGAATTCAATCTCTAAAGCTTATGCTTACAGCTATATATTTTTGAAGCTCCACAGCTCAAGGATGTGAGGCCATATAGGTTTAGCAGAACACAGTCACCTTTACCAGATGATAAGTCTTCTATTCTGTAATGGAGAAAAATTATTTTGTTGTTATTGTGTGGGGGCAATCCATGAAACAATAAATAGCATTTCCATGTAACTGCAATCAGAATATTTTGAAAATGGGTAATGATATTTTTCATGGGATATTAGTAAGAGTTGGTTATTAGGAAAACTAGATAGTCATTCTTTAATGTTTATATCAACCTTTCATCAACTTGGACTATCATTCTTCATGTTTATAATACAACTTAAACAAAAACATCAATAATACCCTACAGAATTTTTCTTTTTTGAATTTTCCTTTTATAGAGCATTTAAAAAACAACTTACTTTAATTTGAAAGGTGAACCATTTGTCAACTTCCAAGGATGATCACTGCTGCTACGAAAAACTCCAATCCATGACGGAGGTAATATGGAACTCAGAAATTCCTACCCCAAAATAAAAAATTTTTATTTAAATAATCATCATGAAAGTAGTGTATTCTTTCAAAAGATCCTTCATTTTGAGAATAAAATAAGATTGTTGGATCCTAATCTAACACTAAAGATATATTAAGACTTTTTATTAAAGATATATTAAAATCGCTTTTCATATTTTCAGAAACTTTCAGCAATGTTTGGACATTTGATTTAAAATTAACTCAAATATTTATGTTTAAAGGTCTCACTCTTCTTAATTTAATAAGGAAAATTCTGATTCATGTAATTTAGTAGTTACCCATGTTGACTAAAATTAACATAAATAAGGCTTTAAATAAGTTTCCAAATACTTAAAATATTTGATAGTATGACTAAATCAATGTCACTTTCTACTATTTCTCATATAGCGGGTTTTCTAAAAATGGGATTGTGATTAAGAAAATAAAGGACATGAAAGAAAAAAAACATTATCTGTGTTTCACAACATTATTTAACCAGATAAAGCCCAAATTGACCTGTTTCTGTGTTGGTGGAATCCAGTGGTCCAGGTGTCAGAGACTAATTTCCCTGCTAATTAGAACTATAAATTCTGGAACTAATTAATGAAAGACACAAGTAAAGGAGAACTCTGACAGGTGGAATGAGAAACAGTAAAGTTTGATACTCCAGGATTAGAGAACACAGGGTGACAGGGTATCTTATATCCCACCCAACAGAAGAAAGCGACTTAGGCCTGATTCTTTCCAATACCCAACCTAGAAATAGGACATGGCTCAAGGAAGCCATTTCTCCCCTGTGTTGAAGAGGGAATCTTTCCCAGCAACAGCAGGCAAGCCTAGGAGAGTGATCAATCAGGACACCTGCTGACAAAAACAATCAGAGAAACCAGGGAGGCAAGTCAGAGGTGGGACCAGCAAAAAGGAGCCTATGACTAAAAGTAACAGACCCTGAAAGGCTCTTATTCTGGAAGCCAAGAGACTCAGATCCCCAGTGAATGACAACAGAGAGAATGGATTTTAAAATGTCACATTCACATAACTCAGCAGTGAAAGTTAACAAACTGCAGATAAATGCAATATAGATGAAGTGCAGCAATATCATATGGGAGTCAAAAGAAACAGGAACAAAATGTGTGTTACTGTATGATTTTTTATATGAGTTTCAAAAACAACCAAAGAGAATCCATATATTAAAAGTCAGCTAAGTGGGTAAGTGATGCGGGAGGAGAAATGATGAGAGAATACACAGGAGCAGTGCTGCAAAGGACCGCAAACTCTATTTTGTGGTCTGATTTGCAATTATATGGTTCCATCGCCCTTGTAATCCATCTGCTCAATTGTATGTTTAAGCCTTGATATAAGGTAAAATTAAATGGCAAAGTTTATATTAGAAACCAAGCACTTATAGAAGCACAGTTTTCTATAAAAAGCAAAAGTGCATTAGTAATATAAAAATATAAAATACTAGAGGCCCAGTGCATGAAATTCATGCACGGTAAGGGCGGGAGGGGGGGGCGGTCCCTCAGCCCAGGCTGCACCCTCTCACAATCTGGGACCCCTCGGTGGATGTACAATTGCCAGTTCAGGCCTGACTCATGCGGGATTGGGCCTAAATCAGCAGTTGGACATCCCTCTCACAATCCAGGACGACTGGCTCCTAATCGCTCACCTACTTGCCTGCCTGATCTCCCCTAACCACTCGCCTGCCTGCCTGATCTCCCTTCACCACTCACCTGCCTGTCTGATTGCCCCTAAATGCCTGCCTGCCTAGCTGATCACCCCTAACCATCTCTGCTTTTGGTGCCTGCACCTGGGACCCAGGCTAGCCTTCTCTGGCTGGCCGCAGGAAACTGGGATCTGGGCTTCACTCTCTCTTGCTGGCCAGTCACTCGGGACCCTGGGCAGCTTTGTCCGGGCCCAGGCTTTGTCAAGAAGGACGTCTGGAATGACGTCTGGAAGATGTCCAGTCTACCCAGTCTAATTAGCGTATTACCCTCTTATTAGTATAGATTATAAAGTCAAACAGTGGAATTTTATACAGACTTTAAATAACTACAACTATGTATAAAAATGTGAATTCTACATATATACTATTGACTGAAATAAGCCTTTAATAAAGTATATGAAATGTTTAGCATCTTACCATTTCTTCTTCATTATCTATGTAAAGCAGATTAGAGTTCTTAGAAGCACAGGCCAGCAAACTCTCATTCCATGTTTTATTTTCAGTGCTACTGTAATAGCAATTGTTGGAATATGTAAACCACCCCAGTGGACAATGTTCACAATGATATGCTAAAGAAAGATAACAAATTATGATACAGTAGCAATTTGAAGTTTTAAAAATAAAAATTAACTTACACACTTACATAGGTATAAACACATAGGTACATAATATACCTATGCATCCTCACTGGCTGGTACATACAAAACAAAACACAGTCACAGAAAAGGGTCTGCCAGATATCCCCTAATTTCTGTGCCATAAAAAGCAAACACATAAACAAAAATTTCCACTCTGTGCATGTCCTAAAACCTGATGACTGAAACTACTTTTTAAGAATAGTAAAATTACTTGTCTCTTATTATATTATAGCAGTAGGAAATTTAAGCCAAAGAGCAACAATGGATGTGGCAATTTAAAATTGATGTTTTTTCATAATGTTGCAGAAGAAGGAACACTCTCTTATAATAATTATTTATGAAAATATATTGCTCATTTTATAATTTATGTTCTCCCAAATGAGTCTATTATCATTATTGCTTAGCCTGAGACAAAATATATATAAACTTTGCTAATATCAGAACTTTGAAAATTATTATGTACCTTTCAGGATCTTTGTGTTGAGGGATGAATTGTTCTTCTCCAGTTTACCAGTACCTTAAAATATTAAGGTAATTGTTTAAAAAGTAATTAATCTAAACAAATGATAATAATTTTTGTTTTTAGCTTGAAGTTTCTTTAAAAAAATATTGATGATGAGAATTATCTATAACAAAATTGATTTACTAAGAAAAATAAATGAAGTAAGACAGATTTAAAGGAAAATATCTTAAAATACTATGGGAACAAACTACCATCTCTTACAGTATTGGCTTACCCAATATCAAGAATTAATTTGCATTTCTCAGTAGGGTCTTTTGGATTCCTATATTTTTATGTATTTAAGTTATGAAATCAGAATTTATAAATGTGTAAAATTTGTTCTACAAATCATTCTATTTTTTATGCATTTGACAAATTCAGCATAGCACATTTATCTAAATATATACATTAAAATGAGAATTCTATTCTGTAATACTGTATTATGAAATGCTTAGAAGCATTCAGATTCTTTAAAATGATGTTTCCTTAAAATCTTCCAAAAACTTACCAGGCATAAAAAGTATCACTCTTACTACACTGTACATCAAGATAAGGCAGATAACTCCCAGGACCCCAGCAAAGAGCTTCTCTGGAGGTGGTGGTGAATCTGCAGGAAGAGAAAGGAGAGATGGAGACATTATTTAGACAGTTTACATATAAGAGAACGCACGTGCACAGTGAATCATAAAGTCGAATCCTGAAACCATAACTAGCAGTGGAATCTTCCTCTCAGATGTACCAAATCATTTTCTGAAAACACGATTCTCCATGAGATGTTGGTCAAAGATGACACCTTACAAGAGTGCCTCAAAGAAATTAGCCCTCAGATTTCACATTAGAATACTGTGTGCCAACTTTAAGCTCTGACCCTTACAAGTGAAAACATATGTGAGCTAATTCCCTACTCTTTTGCACACCTCTATATCCCAGGTGCACAACCTAGAACAATTATACTGTGTGTCTATTAAATGTGTCACCTTTGCTTTAGTCATCCTTGTAATTCCATTGAAGGTCTTGAAAAGCATTTGAAAGTTTATTCCCACACAGAATATTTATTGTTCAGTTGGTACAATGGAGCTTTTCATGCCCTTACCTTTCACTTGCTGTCTCCTTAAGTCCTCAGCCAGATTCATTTCTGAGTCATTTTCTTGTTGGACATCCATCTCTGAGGCTGGGTAATGACAGGGATGGTGCCTGTGACAACAGTACTTAAGTAATTAGTAAATGATGTGAACAATGACAAGAACCCAAGCATAGTCTTTGTGGGTGGAGTGTGAGATAGTAACAGTACCCACTTTACATTTGACCAATGTGAAGTCTTGTTCTAATTTACATAGAGATTTAAATGTGTTTCATGATAGAATAATAGTTCTTAAAATGATATTCTATGTTTAACATAATATTATTGGTTGAAGCAATGAAAAACAAGAAGTTAACGAAGAATAAAGAAAATCAGAATAATGATATCATTATTAAAGTCAGATGCCACTGAAACATTTTAATACAACTAGAATAACTGTGAAAATTAAAATGCAGTATAGAAAAAAAGTGATGCCCTAATTTTTATGACAATTTGTAACTTCAGTAATGGTTACAGATTGAGTGTTCTAAAGTTGGGGGAATAGTAGTATTAGAATATATAGTACTTTTCTGTAATAAATTAATTTTATTTAGTCACTTTATTCATTTAAAGGGCAGATGATATTTTAAAATATCACATGGTATTTTAAATTATTGTGGAGTTCTGAGAAATCATTATAATTTAATAAAACATTTTATAAGCTGAAAAATGCTACATGACACTCTAAATGGTATCCAAAACTTACAAATAATAAAAGCAATAGAAAGTTAAAGGATTCTTTAAAATACTAATTTTACACAAGTAACTTAAATTTTTTTAACGGTTAAGATATGAAAGCATAAAATGATTAATAAATGTGTATATCATTTATGGAGGAACATTGTTGGTGCAAAATTCCTGAAAGATCCTAAGGCTATCAAAGTCAGTGAAGGTGACTGTAGTGTAGGCAAATTTAACAACTCTGCTAATTTATTAAATAATTCAGTCAATGGACTCTGCAGTCAGTGAGATCTAGAATAAATTCTGGCTTTGAAATTTATTATGTATTACCTTTAAAAGTTATTTAGTGTTTAACAACCTAGCTTACTAATCTAAGGTGGGAATAAAATATTTTAAGATACAATGCATATAAAGGTAACAATCTGATATTTGTAAACTCTCAGTATATCACTTGTTTTAATTATTTTAACACAATTGCCTTGTTACTATTTCTGATTCATATCAGACAATGAAAATGTAATTCATTAGACAGGAGCCTCTTATCAGTGTGGCATCTTTTTGCATGTGTTGTTCAATTTCTAAAAAGTACTTTGATTGTTTATAATTAAGTTTAAATATTCAACAACAATGGTTTTTAAAAGTTTAAGCATTTTACCGAGACTCCTGAGTCCTGATTTTTATTGCAAGTCACACTGATTTTATTTAATACAAGTGTATATATTAGTAATTATGCTTTACCTTCATGACTTGATGAATTCTTGTTAGGAATTTATTTTTAAAATCTGGGATAAATATGAAATAATATATATTGATAATTATATCAATTAATTACAAAGTCCAAAATCCAATGGGATTTTATTTAAGTTATACTGATTTTCAAGCCCAAATATAAATGTATGTATGTATGCTATTTAGTACTTTTGTACAGGCAAAAATTAGCATATACTAAGATATCTACCAACATATTTCATATTTTACACTTTTTACTCTACATTTTACAAATAAGGATACCAATGTTTTCTTTTATTTGATTGTATGTGAATTGTACTTCGGTAGTACCACATCTAGCATTTGTAATTTCCCATTAAATGAATTGGGCCAATAGAGAGACAGGAGAATAGACCACATACCTCTGGAAGCCAGTAGGTTATGAATCCTTTAGTTGGAGGCCAGGTCACTCCTGTAAACAATGTCTGTAGTCTCCACAGAGTGGACAGTGAAGATTGAGATTGAATCAAAAGTAGAAAATAGTAGATTTCTCATCACTGTGTCACTTAGAATTTGAACAGGAAATTCTTACACTTGGGCATTTTTGAAGATGATTTATCTCATCACACATCTTCTGAATGTAGGAGATTTGAGCTTGTAGTGCGTCACTTCGTTTGTCCATTGGTAAGTGCCTCTGAGAAATTATTTTTATATTCTAAAAGATTTCTGGGACAAGAGACGTGACCATTCATGCTGTTAACTTATTTCATCTTAAAATCACAAATCTTAGGCCTTGTGAAGAGTATCTCAGATGTTTAAGTTCTACTCTTAGACAAGGTTGCTAAATAATGGCATTACCTCATTTTAGTTATACACACATTATGCTATTTTAATTAAAAAAGAATAAATCTAAAACCATAATTTCATTTACAATACCTACTTAATGATGTTTGTCACTAATATTCTGAAAAATTACTACATTTTCAACATATAGTAACTGTCACAAATATTTATTCTCAAATTTATCTTCTCACACTCTCTTGTTTTTAAAATTGCTGTCCTTAATTATTTAATATTTGTACGTTAGAAATATAAATTTTCCTGATATTAATAAATGTTTGTGAAGGATAAGACATTAAGCAACACTGAACTATACCATATGTATGAAATTGAAATATTAAATTAATACTCATATCATTTATTAATTCATATTCAAATTATAATTAGTAGTTTGTATTTTAATATAAATATTTGTTGTAAAAGACAAAAACCGAAGTCTAACAATGTAGGAGGAAAACAAATATAATTTTTAAAAATTTCACTTGACCATAGCTAAGGAGGCCAAAATAGTAGACTTTGAAAACATATGTTATGTGACACATGACCAACAGAAGAAATAAAACATTGCATTTAAATTATCTAGTGTGCATCAGATAGAATTTTTCATCTTTCTCATATTATATCTAGGAAAGAGGAAATTTTTATCTTCATTAGTGAGTAAATTAAAATTGGGAGTACCATATGATCCAGCAATCTTATTTCTGAATGTGTATCCAAAGAAACAACACAATTATTTTATAATATTTAATTTCTTTATTGATTTTCAAAATAGAGAAGGGAAAAAGATTCGATAGATAGCTATAGATAAATAGATAGATAGGTAGATACATAGATAATAGAAAGAAATAAACTTGTTTGATTCTTTTTAAATTATTTTTAATTAATTAGTTTATTTAATTTTTTTACAATTTAATATTTTTTAATTAATTGACAGAATTGTGCATCTACTACAAAAAAATAACAACACCCAAAACACAAAAACAGAAAAGCATTGCTTGATTCTTTTTTTTTCTTTGGTGATTAAGGTATTACATATGTTTCCTTACCCCCCATTGTCCCCTCCACCCCACTCATGCCCTCACCCTCCCGGTGTCAGTGTCTATTGATTAGGCTTATATTCATGCATACAAGTCCTTTGGTTGATCTCTCCTCCTTACCACCACCCTCCCCTACCTTCCCTTGAGGTTTGACGGTCTGATCAATGCTTCTTTGTCTCTGGATCTGTTTTTGTTCATCAGTTTATGCTGTTCATTATATTTCAAACATGAGTGAGATCATGTACTAGTATGTGCCCTGACCAGGGATCAACCAGTAACCTTGGCGTATGAGGACAATGCTCTAACCAACTGAGATATCCAGTCAGGGTAACACAATTATTTGCAAAGAGATATCTGTACTCCCATGTTCATGGAAGCATTATTCACCATAATTAATGTTTGAAAGCAACCTATGTGTCTTCAGTGGACGAATGGATAAAGAAAATGTTACACACACAGAGGATTATTATTCACCCATGAGAACAAGAAATTTCTGTGATTTGTCATAAGGATGAACATGAAGGCATTTTGCTAAATGAAATAAGCTAAACAGAGAAAGTAAAATATTGTATGGCATCATTTATATGTAGAATTAAAAAATAGGAAATTCAATAAAAAGTGGTCCCAGAAGTTGGGGGAGGGTGGAGAAAATAAGTGAAGTTGGTAAAAAGGTACAAACTTTCAGTTATAAGATGAGTAAGGCCTAAGGATCTAATCTATTACAGGGGGACTAAAGTCAATAACAGTGTATTGTATAGTTGAAATTTACAAAGTGATAGAACTTAAATATTCTCACCAAAGGGTAAAAATGGTAACTAAATAAACCACAGATTATTAAAATTTCAATTGAGAGGCACCCTTGCTGAATTTGTAAAAAAGCTAAAGGAAAATTCTATAAATTGGTAGTTATGTAAAACCTAGGGAATATAGTTCATAATATTGAAATAACTATATATGGTGCCTGATGGGTAATGAACTTATTTGGTGGTTACTTCATAAATTACATAAATGTCTAATAGCTGTGCTCAATATCTAAAACTAATGTGAAATAAACAGGGGCATATACTTATCCTATTTAAAGATACTAAGTAGAAAATAAAGCCACATTACGAGTACATTTTAATATCTACATTACATTTAAAAAGTATGAAAATGCAGTGCAACAAATGGAAACCTCAGTATATCTAGCATGTAGTATAAGAATTGAGTTCATTTTATGAACTTTCCTCCAAGAGCATCCTTCAAGCTCCACTGGCATTGGGACAAAAAAGTTAGGTAGATAGGGGCAGGGCAATAGGAGGAGGAAGTGAAACCAGGAACCCAGCTTGGCAGAGTTACTAAGACACCCTAACTGGAGCGGGAAGGAAGGCTGGGAGCCAGAGGCTTGAACTTTAAAATGGATGGATATTACTAAGACAGACAGTGTGCAGATACCCAATCACAAGGCAGTGAGGCAAACATATATAAAAAAAAAAGTGCAGGCTCCCTTTCATTCACTCCCAGCTTAGGGCACAATGGACACCTGACACTCCTGTTGCTGGGGAACACATCCCCTATGATCATGTGGCTTATGGCCATATTAGTGGCCCAATGTACAAAATTCATGCACATTAAAAGGGAATTAATTAGAGGAAATATTTTAATATTGTTATTTACCCTTTCTCTATAATAGAAGTGTCAGAGATGAAAGAAAATTAGTAAAATTTATATGAAAATAATATATGTTTATTGATAAATAAACAATCGCAACATGCTATAACAACAACAAAGACATGAT